TATCCACGGAAGGATCCCCATCTCACAGAAAATGAAAAATCACCCAATTAACTTTCTTTTTTAAGTCACTTCTCTCCCCCCCCCCCCCCCCCCGAATATCAGGGACATAAATCTCCAGTCTCTTTTTTTCACACCACTGTTACAGCCTTTGAATTGTGAGTGGCAGTTAAGGAAGGGCTTATTTTTCCTTTTTTTTTGGACTTTCTTCTCCTCTGTTTCTGCCTTCCCATCTACCTGGTCGTCTTCCTGGCTGGTTCTGTGCAGTGCCCACCGCTCCCCCCCAGAATGTCCAAGCAGAAGCGGTCAACTCCACCACCGTCCAGTTCTTCTGGAACCCACCTCCACAGCAATTCATCAACGGGATCAACCAAGGATATAAGGTTGGGATGAGTCTACGTTAAGGCCGGGTTCCAGGAAGCAGATGGCCACCCCACAAACATGGGTCTGTCCTGGGGGGGGGCACGTTCAATGCAGATTTGACTTCCTTTCCTTCCTGAATGAGGAAGGCAGCTGAATAAAAGGTCCCCCTTAAAAGAAAAAGAAAAAAAACCACGCAAAATGTCTAAATTTTCCAATATCATTAGGCTGTTTTCAGAAGTTGTTTTTATATTCAATCGTTGTTTAAATGGCAGTTCTCTCAGAAAACGTACAAAGCAAAACGTACACACAGGTTGATTTCCACTTGTCAAGAACTACTCAAATCCCGGTTTTTAACTGTCAAGGTTCTTTTCTTTCTTTCTTTTTTTTAACCTTCTCTTTCCTTGCTTTTTCATCTCGTTTCCCCCCTCCCGCTTTAATGTCTGAAGCAGCTGGACAGATCATATTTATTTCACAGTCTAGATTTTTTTTTAAAAAAAAAAACCCACATTATAATAGGGACAGTTGTAGGGAGGACATTTCTATCATATTTTTATGTAGCACATAATTTGCGTAATGATTTATAAATTGCCACATTTCGTGCGCTTCCTTGCCTGGCTGGTGTCACTCATTGTGTATTTTTTCCTGGCAAATGCACTCAGCTTCTTTTTATGGAAGTGTCGAATATTCAACTCGAAGAAATGTAAAAGCCCATTGGTGACCCATTGGTACATTTTCAATCTGCTTTATAGGTATAATTTAGCAAAGCCGAACACGACGCTTTCTCTGCCATCATGAATTGGAGAGTGGAGTTGTTGTTGTTTTTTTACTTCTGGAAGTTTTTGTTTATTTGTATCCTGCCTTTTATTATTTTTATAAATAACTCAAAGTGGTGAACATAAGGACTGGCACAAAGTCATCCAGCTGGCTTTCATGGCTAAAACGGGACTGGAACTCACAGTCTCCTGGTGATTGGCCCAAAGTCAACCAGCCAGCTTTCATGGCTAAGGTGGGACTAGAACTCACCATCTCCTGGTGATTGGCCCAAAGTCAACCAGTTGGCTTTTATGGCTAAAACAGGACTAGAACTCACCTTCTCCTAGTGATTGGCCCAAAGTCAACCAGCTGGCTTTCATGCCTAAAGCAGAACTAGAACTCACTGCCTCCTGATTTTTAGCCTGGCAGTTGAAGTCCCCAGCCCTTAAAGCTGCCAAGGTTTGGACACCCTGTCCTAATGGATTAGGCTACCTTATGCATGCTTAGTCGAGAATATTTAGCTTGCCACCTTGTGGGCATCACATTGTGGTTTGCAAGCGTAGCATTGTGCTTGCGAGAGATAGCATTTCTGCAGCCAAATCCTTTGCTGCGGGCCTCTCAGTGGCTTAGCCCGGTTGCAGACAACACAGTGAAGCAAAAACAGATCAATCACAGTTAAATCAAAGTGGGATGTAGGCAGCCAAGCTCCCATTTGTCTTCTGTTCTCTGTAAGTCTGCCAATGGTAGTTCATTGTATCTTGGAGCAAGCTTATTAAGTAGCATGTTAGAATTCTGCAGCGAAGGGATTTTAATCCAGACACGAACAAGGGAGATTTTAATCTAGACTACAGAGAAATGGAGGGAACTGTTCCTACGAGGCAATGTTAATATTAAGGCAACGATCTCAACCTTGGGTCCTACCTCAGCCTTGACTTAGAGTTGAAAAGTAGAACTTAGAGGACAGAGTCCAATGCACTACACATTGTGTGAGTGCTTCACATCCTGGGCCTGTTTCCTACATATTATCACCATATCTCCCAAGCGTTTCCTTTCCTCAGGTGACCATCCTCCTTCTTTCATTCATCCTTTTTTTTTTCTTCTAACCCCTGAATGGTTTTCTTTGCTGAGATGGGCTCTTATATTCTTGACATTCCTGTGATTACACAATGAGAACCATTAACCAGTGGAATGGTTTGCCTCCAGAAGTTGTGGGTGCCCCATAACTGGAGGTTTTCAAGAAGAGACTAGACAGCCATTTGTCCATGGGGTGGATTGGAAGATCTCCAAGATCCCTTCCAACTCTGTTATCCTGTTATTCTGATTAGTCATACCACTATTAAGCAGAAAAAGAAGCTTGCCCGTGGTTCTTTATGTCCTTAAAAATAGCTTGAATGTCTTGGGGATGGGGGTGGTGGGCTGCCTTTCTGCGTCTAGATACATTACAAGCCTCATAACACCGTAAGTCTGTCCGTGATGACTTACTATGTCAGTTATGTTAAGAAGAATCTCCGTGCTTTCGTAACTGAGCTAATCCAAGTTCTGCTGTCTATGGCGTTGACCGAGGATGGTAGCTCGCCCTCAAAGTATGTCATCTCTCTTTGATTCCACCACACCCCTGTCCAGCTTTTGGCATGGCCAGTTGATGCCCCAGATGCTAAGACCGCCGTCACCATTCCTCCAGATTTTCATGGCGTCCACAGAGGATACATAACCAACCTGAAGAAATTTACAGCTTACTATACATCAATCCTTTGCTTCACCACCCCAGGAGACGGACCACCCAGTCCACCACAGTTGCTGCAGACTCACGAAGACAGTAAGTAGAGCCATTGTCTTTACAGATTGTTGGGGGGGGTAACAGGCTGACTCTGTAAACCGCTTAGAGAGGGCTGTAAGGCACTGTGAAGCGGTATATAAGTTTAAGTTCTTGTATACTTATATACTTATTGCTATTGCCCTTCCTTCCTTCCTTCCTTCCTTCCCTCCTTCCTTCCTTCCTTCCTTCCTTCCCAGTGGTTAGAATGCAGTATTTCAGGCTGAATCTGCCCACTGCCAGGTGTTCGATCTTGACCAGCTCAAGGTTGATAGCCTTCCATCCTTCCGAGGTTGGTGAAATGTTGGGGGCAATAGGCATCAGACGACGAATTTTAAATGCATAAATGTTCAGATATTTACAGAGTGACCCTTTTAACGATCTCTTCTGCAAACTAAGTACAACGAATCTTAAATAAATCTTGTTTCATAAGCCTTTATTGTTTTTCTTCCAGTGCCACTTATTCTCTTCCCAGCCAGCCTCTTGAGGTTGTTCTGTTTTTCTACAAGAGATAGGTAGCCTGCCAATGAACAAGGTTTATAGCCTTCCTAATTAGGTGAAAACCTTTCCTTCGGTTTGATTAACCTGCGCAAAGGATCACTGCAGATCTGAAAATAAAAAACTCTTACCGAGGGGAACGCTTCCATATTGGAAGAGAATTGGCTGCAGGGTTATAAATAATGTGCAGCTCTGCCTTCTGGGAATTGTTTTGTAAATTATTGAGCCTTATGAATGCTTGCCTTGCTTCTAAGAATCAACTGTGATTAAGGGGCTGTGTTACTTACACGAGCAGACCAATGAAGGGCTTAATTATCGTTTCATTAAAGAAGGATTGTATTCGTTCATTTTTTTACAGTGCAGATCAATGTTTCTCAACCTTGTCAACTTTAAGAAGTTTGGACTTCAACTCCCAGAATCCCCCAGCTGGGCTTCTTAAAATTGACAAGGTTGACAAACACAGGTCCAGATGCTATAATGGTTGTTGCAGGAAAGAGCTGGCTAGGGAATTCTGGGAGTTGAAGTCCAAACTTCTTAAAGTTGACAAGATTGACAAACACACACACACACACACACAGAGAGAGAGAGAGAGAGAGAGAGAGAGAGAGAGAGAGAGAGAGAGAGAGAGAGAGAGAGAGAGAGAGAGAGATGCCGATCTCCCGGATGTTTGGGGCTGAGATTCACGACAGGTTGATGAAAACCAGGAAGAGTTGGTCTGGGTGGACAGAGCCTGATTGAGACCCTGTTTGAGAACCCATTAAAGACAACTCCAGAGTTCTCTTGAGATACAGATGAGATAAATGAACCACCAGGTTGAATTATTGATTCATATTAGCCAAGCAGAAGGGACACTTCAAAGACAATATTGAAACATCAAGAGGTCTTTCTGAAATCCAGGGCTTCCTCTGGAGGATTTGGGTAGCCTGTTTTTTTTTTTTTTTTAACCATCCAGGTTAGAGCATTTCAACAAGCAGATACTCCTGGGCATAACATACCGAGGTCTGGTCCTGTCCAATCCTCGCTGAGTTATAGCAGCTTTTCTCGCTGATCTCGATATATTTCACGAGGGTTTCTGCTTTCCAGCATTTCTCACACAATCACCTCGCAGCTTGCCAACGGGAACAAGCCCATCTCATACAGTATATATGTGTGTGTGTATATATATCTTATTTTATATTTGGGGTTGAGCTCCTGCAAAATGCAAAATTTGGGTAGGACGAATTAGGCTGTCTGCCTGTCAACGCCTGCAAGATTTGCAACTGCGGAGGGGCCTAAACCACAGGGATACACAGCTGTGTGCAAGAGCTCCAGAATGTAACTCATTCTTTAGCTCATTCATGAAAATTGAGGGAGGAGAGGATAATTAATGCCTGCCTGATCAGTGAAAGCCTCCTTGTCTGGGTTCACACAACCCAATTAACAAGGTCAAGGAAGGACCTCCTTGCTGCCATGGAGCCACGTTCATAAATGTGACTTGTTTTCATCTTGGTTGGTTGTCTTATAGGCAGGGGCACCTCTTTGGGTGAGCTTCAGATCTATTCTATCTTGTAAACTTAGAAAAGGGATTAATCTGATAAGTAAGGCTTGCTGAGTCACTTAATTTTACACGGGGTTTACTGAAATGCAGAGCAGTAAGGGTGAATGGATGCTCTGGATTACCTTCTCCAGACATCATCTGCTTTGAAGCCTTCAGAGCGTCCTCTGACGCCCATGAAGCCAGCCCGATTGATCCAGCATTTTAAACATCCATCTAACTAGCATGGCCCCGAGCCAGTTATTCTTGGCTACTGCTGGGTTTGTTTTGTTCTTTGCCAGCTGGGCAAGAGGTGAGCTCTTGCTTGAGCAAGGGGTTGGATTAGGTGTCCTCCGTGGACTCTTCCAACTCTGGTATTCACTAAGCCAGGGGTTCCCAACCAGGGGATGCAAAAACTTGGGTTTTCAAAATTATAGTGTATGTGCATAATTTGTTGCCGTTATTTCGAACTGTTGTAAGGGGTGCGAGGATATATCAGAAGCGTTCTATAGAAAAGGTTGGGGACCACTGCACTAGGCTGTGCTTTGACAATTAGTCCCTTCCAAATAATGGAGAAACTCTCACCCCCAAAGCTTCTGAGCCTGCAGGGGTTTTCCAAACTTCTCTCCTTCTTCCCAAGCTCAAAGAAGACCATCCCTCTTTCTATTTATAAATCTGTGCTGTCCAATCCATCCCAGTCCTTTCAGTGGAGCAGTTGGGATGAAGTGGGGAAAAGCATTCGTACCAGTGATAACCACAATCATCTTTAGCACCTCGATGTTTCTGACAGCTCTCAGATTCTCACTCTCAGCCAGCCCTCGCTGCTGGCTGTTTTGTTTCTTCAATCCTCAAACCGCTGACCTGAATCTGATCCCAAATAAAAGAAGCTTTCCCCCCTCCCCCCATTAACAGTTGGGGTTTTTTTTGTTCCTTTTCCGCTTGCCAGCACCAGGAACGGTGGGACACCTGAGCTTCACAGAGATTCTGGACACTTCACTCAAGGTCAGCTGGCAAGAACCCGTTGAGAAAAACGGCATCATTACAGGCAAGTATCCGCAAAGAGCTGTTACAAAACACCTTGCAAAGAAAATTGCAGAGGGGGCAAGTGGGCCTGTGAATGTAGGAAAGGAAGGCTAGAGAAATTGTTCTGCTCAGGGAATTTGTATCTGTGAAGAGCCTCTGGCTGAGAGAAAATGTTAAGATCTTGGCTTTGACTTCTCTGGAGCTGAGAGCTCCAATGAGTGGTTGGAGAGTATGAGGACCAGTTACTGCTATTTGACAATAATGACCTTGCCAAGAGGAATCTGTGGGACAACGCACATCTACACCAGCTTTGAACCCACCATCAAAGGTACACACTACACTTTCCACTTTTCTACCACCCCTCTGAGATTAGAGGGATGTCTGAATTTACACCAAGGAGGGTCACGGCATCGTAAGATATTGTCTCGCTCTCCAAAGCAGAAAATAGCTTGTTGAGTTGCTTCTCTGTTGAGCAAATATATCCATAAGCTTCTTTCACAAACATGGTAGGACCTAGAAGGTCACTGCTCCCTTCTACGTCTCCACTTCTCCACTTCATTTTGGCGAGATTCAGAACATACTCTCGCTGTTCATTGTTCTATTATGGTTGGAATGTTGTAATAATGGACCTTTCTGCCACTTACACCTCCAGAACCGTGTAATGGTTTCACATCTCTTCTGCGTTGTGAGTATACTATTCTTATTCACATTATACATTTGAGCTACAGTAGGCAATGGAAGGGTTTATTAGCAAACATTTGTTATTATGATAAATGAACCTTAAATCCAAGGACAGAAAAAGAAAACGCTCCATCATTCTAGGGAAAATAATTTATGTTGCATAGACAAAGTGTTCGTTCCTCCTCCAGCATATCCAGTTAAAAACGAAAAAACAATGAAATAGATCTGAAGGAGCTAAGTGTCCACAATTTAGTTTCTTGCCTTTCCATGGAAACCCGAGTGAATTTTTTTTTTCAACCATGGTTTTCGGGAGCTTTAAAGATGGCAGAAGGTGATTTGAGTTTTAGACCTTGAAGTGGGATCAATTTAGCTCCTGAAGGTCTTCTGCTCTCCTTTCATCTTAATTCACCTCAGTCCAAAACTTGATTCCAAATCCCCAGATGAGAGGGGATATTTATGGGTGGAGAAGGGAAAGGAACTTGGAGACCCCTCTCGCTCCCCTCCTTCATTTTGAGAAACACAAAATGACCCTATGAAATTTGGCCAACTGATTTGATCTCATGGTGCTGGGAGGTTGCGAGTGAGGAGCTGGGATATATCACCCACGAAGGTGACACCATGCTCAGCAGAAGTGGAGAAAAGACTCACTGACCCATAGGTCACTCAATGAAGAAATTCCGCAGTGGCATAGATTTTCAGTAACTGAGATAATGTGGTGGAATCGCCAGCTAGACTAGAAGGACAGGTCAAGAGAGGCCCAAGTTTAGAGTCTTTGCACTGCAGTAAGCAGACAGGCTGGACCTCCACCAAAATACTTGAAGCGTTATCTTGCCATTCCCGAGGGAATGCAATCAGTCTAACAAGATTCTTGTAACATAGTTGACTACAACATACAACTACTGTTGTGGCTCTTCTTGAGTGGTTGTGGTTGCTTTTGTTTGGCCTTAATCTCGCCAGACTAACTGCATTCCCTTCAGAACTGCAAGATAAGGCTTCAAGGATTTTGGTGGAGATCACCCTGTGCCGTTTTCTACAGCGCAAGGATTCTAAGCTTGGGCCCCTCTTAACTCCTCCCTCCAGTCTAGCTGGAGATTCCACCACATGTAGAAAGCTAACTCCATTGTCCCAAAAAGGAGGCGCCTTTATATTTCTGATAATAATGTTGGTCTAAAGATGTACCAGGCTAGCTTTATAAGACCAAATCATGGGATCATCTTCAGGGAGGATTCGTATCTCAAAGATGCTGTTTATGGTGTCACCATCCAAGCTTGGACCGTGATGCCACGCTCACCATCTTGCAGATTTTGATCCCCTGCTATGGTCACTACTGGAAACCATCTCGTATTGTGAGGAACGTTGCATTTTAGGCTGAAAGACTGGAAGCGACAAAAATCATTCACTGCTTGCGAAAGATTAGGTGGCTTGGATAACGCTGCTCAGAAAGCTAAGAATTCCTAGGAGATTCCTCCTTTGTCACTTTGCTGTGAAGATGCCATTTGCTGAGACTTTGTCTTTAAATCTAATCCATGGAATAAGAGGAAAACACGGGGGCACCGGAGGGAACCAGCCGGTTTTTGGTAAATTGCCCATTGTAAATTTCAGTATCTTCCTCGTTCCCTCGATAAATTCTGATTTATGAGGGCCTGGATGCAGGCGGACAGTTGGTGATTGGGTGTACAGCTCTCTCGTCCAGAATTTAGTCCAGATCAACAGAAAATTATTTCTGAGGCTCCCGAGGTCATTCATTTCAGTTACACCGCAGCTTAGGGAGAAGCTACTAAGGCCAGTGTATAAAGAGATGCTTCTTAGCTGCTTGGACTTGGATCAGATCTGTTCTTCTCGATTTCCTCAGTACTTTTGGCCATTCATCTGTCCCATTTGATAATTTTTTGACATTATTTTTTTTTTTCAAAAGAAGGAAAACATCATTAATTTGCTTTTCCGGGTTCTTTTTATCTGCCTCATTCACTGGGCCCCGAGACGTCTTCTACAAGCTTAGTTCTGCGTGTTAGTTCATGCTTCCTTTTTCCAGCTTCAAAGCTTTCTCCTACTGATGCGATTGTTGACGTATCAGCAGCCGATCTACTTGCTGGACCACAAGGCACCGGGGCAATTTGACATGGTCACGTGATGCTTGGATGAGTGCTAAAGAACCTCTTGAACCCGATAGGGATTCACACCTCCTTAGGAAGGTTAAAAATGTAAGGCCTGCCTTCATCAGCCTATTCCTAGGTCCTGTGAAAAGAAGACCATGAACTCCGTCCCATCTCACTCCTCTTATTTATCATGAGCCAATTTTTAGACAGGCAACTCTTCATTACAAATAATTTGCTTAATCCAGGCAACAAGTCAAAGAAATTAAAGGCATCGGTCATTCTGGCCGGAGAAAGATTCACGCAGCCCTCCTTCCAACACAATGTTTGCAGCCAACACAACATTTGCAGCCACGATTTTGGTAGCTCAAGGATCTCCATCTGGTCTTGCTTCTCCCATTGCAATCCATCTGCATATTTTTGAGCCCTTCGGTCAAGTTCTCTATTATTTGCTTCCGACTTCCTCTGAGATCTATTACACCTGCCCAAGTCTCCTTTCCTCATGGGAGAAATCACTCCAGCCTCTTGATGCTTTTTTGCCTGTCCTCTGCTGCACCTTGCTTCCAGAGATTCTGCCTTGTCTTGCCCCAGGCCTAATCACCAAGGAAGATGCAATCAAGCCTGTTTTTCCCCCCTAGGCGCTCTAGGGGCACGAACACCAGCAAGGTTCATAAAAGAGCTCCAGGGTGAATGAAGTTGTTACGGAGGGTTCAGGGAGAGACGAGAACAAGTAAAATCAGAAGCGGAATTGAGAAAAATCAGGACCTCATGGAAGTTGATGGAAGCAGGGAGAAAGAACGGGAAAAAAGCATTAATAGCTTGCCCCAGAAGTCTACAATAGGCAAGCGAGATGGAGGGCTAGGTCTTCAACACAGGGGGATAATGGCTTTGCTTGACGTGGCTTGAAATGACAAGATAAAATGATTTGCCAGGCGTGCAGAGCCTGTGCTAGGGCAGGAACACAGAACAAAGGCATTTTCCACTCTTTCAGACTTTGCAATGCGTTCCCTTGGGCCAATTAGCATCTCATTTGCTTCCTTTGCTTCTCATTGAAGAGAACATTTCTGTCTGTCTTGCATCGGTGTTTCCCTGTCTGGCCCAACCCAGAGATGAGACAGTGAGATCCAACTGAGTTCAATTCTTTATTTGCTTACGCTACTGTACAAGAAGATCCATCAAGGGCAGTTAATCGGCCTCACCAACCGACTTCCGAGCCTCAATGGAAACGGATCAAGAGAAAGCGATTCCAAGTGTTTTGTTCTTGTTTAAAGGAAAGTCATCAATGGATGTATAAAAGTAGAGGCACGCACTGCAGGCTCAAACAGCAGTATTCTGCAAAAGTCCTGGGCATAGGTTGGACACACAACCCTTCTGAGATGGACATTGGTCCTTTGGTGAGCTCCAGATAGACCAACATTGCTGGTGGTTTGCAAGAAAAGATTGGACAACCCGTTGTCTGGGATGGAATAAGTTCTCCTGCCTTGGGCAGGGAGTTAGACTAGAAGACCTCCAAGGTCCCTTCCAGTTTATAATTCTATGATAAGGGACAGAATCTTGCCAGACTAAAAGTATATCCTTCTAGATATATTCTGAGATATTCTATGGAGTGGCTACTCTGAAACTCTTCCCCTCTTCCCCAACCAGTTTGGGGTTGCGCAATCTCTTAATCTGGGCCTCTTTTGGGGAGTTGCCAAAAAAACCCCACTACTGCTCCTGCAAGTACACATTCCATCACATTCCCTTCTTCTACTTGTTGAAGTATTGGGCAAAAGGAATGTCTTTTTTTTTTAAAGAAAATGTAGCATCTTCACTTGATGCTGTTCTCATGCTTTAGATCAGGAGTAGGCAACCTTGGCTCTTTTATGACTCGTGGACTTCAACTCCCAGAATTCCTGAGCCAGCCACGCTGAGGGGAAAGGGAGAGTTTCCAAGCTGAGCCATGCTGGCTCAGGAATTCTGGGAGTTGAAGTCCACGAGTCATAAAAGAGCCAAGGTTGCCTACCCCTGCTTTAGATCTTCTGGTTATATCTGTCATATGAACAACTTTTGGAGAATGAAAACATTTAATTGATAAACTGAGGTGCATTTCAGGTCTCTGGGTATAAAATAGGGCACATTTTAAGAAGCGGGCCCTTAAATCAGTTCTGAAGGGAAATGGAGGAAAATCAGGGCCACAGTAATTTAAAGAACAGAGAGATTTTTTGGGTGGTGGTGGTCAGATATGTTAGTTAATCGCTCAATAATCTTCTTACTAGTATGTATTCAATGTTATATAGTACATATTACATTCCTTTCTCTCTATCTCATTTCTCTAGCCATTGATAAAAATTGTCCCATGTCCTACAGTACACCGAGTCTTCTTTCTCTTTTATCTTTAATGTCAATCTGTCCATTTCTGCACCATCTAAAATTTTCTTAATTAGTCCTTCTTCCGTTGGTAAGTTTTCATTTTTCCAATATTGGGCAAATACTGTTCTTACTGCGGTTAACACAGAAGAGAAGACTTTTCTTGATGCCTATGAGGGCCATTGAAGGGATGAAGTTCAAGAGGTCAAGCCACATGTCCTTAGTTGTAAGGTGACCAATACTGTTGAGAGAGATGGCTTCTCCATGTTTTTTGAAGCTCCTCAAGGTAGCAGACCAAAGAAGCTGGCAGAAGACTGATTTCTGATAGCTGGCTTCTCATTACTGGGCAGAGTTTTCTTAAATGGAAGCACTTCCCTCTTGAGCTGAAGTAATGAAAACCTTAGGAGCTCCTTGCTCAGTTCTGGGAGATGTCCTTTAACCGAGCGAGCTTTAGAAGATGCTTCGGATAGTACCAGCTTGGTTTCATTGCCTCCTCCTTTGTTTCCCTCCAGGCTATCAAATTTCCTGGGAGGTCTACAGCAGGAATGAATCTCGCCTGGTTCGGACGCTGGCAAACACAACCCTCGAGTACAAAATCACAGGCTTGTCGTCTCTCACGACCTACACCATCGAAGTAGCAGCCATGACAGCAAAGGGAACCGGCTTGATCACTTCATCGACCATCTCATCTGGCGTCCCCCCAGGTTAGTCAAGCAGCATTCGGAGACGCTCAAGAAATATATCAGGGTTGCATTTAATTGAGCTTAGCACCCAGGGGTTGTTCAGGGACACAAGAACGACTTGGAAAAATTAAAAAATAAAATTAAAATCGGGTGCAGAAATTTCCTGACAGTGAGAACAATTCATCAGAGGAGCAGCCTGCCTCCAGAAGTTGTGGGTGCTCCATCACTGGGAGTTTTTAAGAAGAGATTGGACAACCATTTGTCTGGAATGGGATAAGGTTTCTTGCTTGAACAGGGGGTTGGACTAGAAGACCTCCAAGGTCCCTTCCAACTCTGTTATTCTACATTCTGTACCAGTGTTTCCCAATCTTAGCCACATGAAAATGTGTGGACTTCAACTTCCAGAATTCCCCAGTCAGCCTGGAATTCTGGCAGTTGAAGTCCACCCATCTTCAAGTGGCCAACAGTGGGAAGCACTGTTTTGTACTGATCTGAAGACGTTGCAGCTGATGGGCTGTCCCGATATGTAAAAATTGGGGGTTTTGCAAGAGGTTAAAGAGAAAGCAGCTAATTCTGGTACTTTGCTGGCATCTACCTCTGCAGAAATGTCAACAGGGATAAAGGGGAGGAATCTAACAAGCTGGAAAAGGAGAAATAGAAAAAGAGATGGACCAGGCTGGCTTATTCCTCCTTTTCTGCCCCATCCAAAAGAATGAAAGACCTTCCACTTCAGCTTCCCACTAAATTTGATGCTCCATCCCCAAACATCTTTTGAGCCTTGCTTACTGTATATAGAAAGAGCAGGACTACAGCGTTACAGATTAATTATTTAGGCTGGCCTTTGAAATTACACTTTAAGTGGGACAATTGGGACAAGGCAATTCCCACCTAAGAGTCAGCTATGTTGAGGTGGTGGCTTACTAAGATATGAAAGTCTTTCTGGTAGCCCTAGGAGATCATTTTTGATTCCAGAACCAATAATTGTGCTGCTGTCTAGATGAGAGGCAACACGCCGGACAGGAATACTGGTGATCTCCCTAGAGGCAAGTGGTGGATCACTCTTTTGGAGAAAGGATGTGGGCTAGATGGATTCACAAAGCTCTGTTTATCACCTTGACTTCAATTCTGTCCTGTAAAGTGGATCAAGCAGTCCCAAAACTGAGCCATAAGTTTATTCTTCTGCTCTGAGTACTCTTTTTTTTATTCTACTTGTTGACTTCTGCAGAGCTTCCTGGTGCACCTTCCAATTTGGTCATCTCAAACATCAGCCCTCGATCTGCAACTCTTCAGTTCCGGCCTGGATATGATGGAAAGACCTCAGTCTCTAAGTGGATCGTGGAGGGACAGGTATGCAAAAAAAAGAAAGAAAGAAAGAAAAAGAAAGAAAGAAAACCTAATGTAATCATCCTAATCCTTTTAGCAGCTCAAATTAATCTGTACTTGGCTTCAGCTGCAAAGTAGGAAAGCACATTTGCTAAGAGATCGATTTCTAGAAAAAAGAGAAAAAATGTCAAACTCTTTCTCTCGATCCATGGATGCTCTTTTAATCCATGGCTGCTTCTTTCACATGTTTACAATTGGGACGGTCAAAGCATTCCACCTACAAGTGACATTTTCATGAAAATCAAAAATCATTTCATGCAAAAACGGTTTCCCTTTGGGGAAGTGGATTCCACAATGGGTGTCACCAGCTGTGTGTTTGTTTGAAGTGTTTACGGATTTCATTTTTGGTTGTTGTTGTTTTTTTTAATTTTCCATGTTGACTTGGGGATTTATTTGATGTGTGCTGCCTTGTGATTACGTGAGTTTGGTGGCCATAGTTGTCTTCTAAAGAAATGGATTGATGAAATGAAGGAACATTTTGTCAGAGAAGCGTTCTGTGATCTTGACTGGTCTCCCTTTTTTTTCTTTAGTTACTGCTTCCCTCTTACAGTAGAGTACCACTTCTCTAGAATAATGCTCGCTGAGTACACATTTCTGCTCTAAACTCAAGATATTAATGGTTGCCTCTTATGATGCTGGACACAGATACTCACTGTTCTTTGTGATCGTTGCCGAGTCCGTTCTCAAGAGGGAATGCTAGTTGAAACACATTCGATCTAGCTAAAATGGGCTGCAAAGACATATATTTATAACCAACGTATTTGGGATTTTATGAAGCTTACCCATCTGCTCTATGGTTCACGTTTTTTATTAGTTTAATAATGTTTGGGGCTTGTGTTTTGGAATTTTAGTATATAATACATTTATTCCAGCCGGGATAAATGCCATCAGCTCATGCCTGCTTCTCTTTCATCACTTGAAGCCTCTCTGGACTCATAGTTGCCTATTGCCTTTTTTTTTAATGGTGCCCCACTAGGATATAATTTTTTATTCCACTCGTATATGCCTGCCAGTAATTGCTTAACACTTCACACATTGCTTGGTAACTCCTAAAAGCTTATGTCAGAAGGAGGTCAACCCATGCCCTGCAGATGTTTTGCATTGCAAGGCACTTTTAACCTTAGGTGTGCTGGTAGGATCACACATAAAATGGTCACTTCTCCAATGGAGCCCGAGGTTCTTTGCCCCTTTATGTCTTTCATGTCAGCTTCCATTGTAGAAAAGACAGTTCCCCCCTCTGAGCTCATGGGGGCAGGCAAAAGAAAGCGTGTGCCTCAAGTGTTGGCTCAGCTTCTCCACTTCATCCCGTCTTTCTTTCGGAATTTACTTTTCTCTTTGGCTTAGTTTAAGTTGCTTTTCAGGAGATGGCAAGAGCATGGAGTTGGGTTTGGTCAGGATGGCTCTCCTAACGTGATGTTTCTCGACCTTGACACCTTGAAGAGGCGTGGACTTCAACTCCTAGAATTAAAAAAAAAACATGGAAAGCTGGCTGGGCAATTCTGGGAGTTGAAGTGATTTTCTTTAATGAAAAAAAGGACGAGGGGGGACATGATTGCAGTCTTCCAGTATCTCAGGGGCTGCCCCAAAGGAGAGGGAGTCAAGCTATTCTCCAAAGCGCCTGAAGGCAGGGTGAGAAGCAACAGATGGAAACTCATCAAGGAGAGAAGCAATCTAGAACTAAGGAGAAATTTCCTTAGGAGAAAGTCAGAACAATTAACCAGTGGAACAACCTGCCTCCAGAAGCAGTGAATGCTCCAACACTGGAAGTTTTTAAGAAGAGACTGGACAACCATTTGTATGAACGGATTTCCTGCTTGAGCAGGGCGTTGGACTAGAAAATTCCCAAGGTCCCTTTCAACTCTGTTATTCTGTTAAGTCCACTCTTCTTCAAGGAGTCAAAGTTGAGAGATATTACTTTAATGCAAGAAGGCGGAAGTCACCATCTCTGTGCTGCAGTTAATTAGGTCTTCAAATGCTCAAGAAGGGCAGTATATTGTACAATGTTTGATCTTGAAAACGGGTCCTCCCTCCAAGCTTGCAAAGGATTTATACCGTCTCCAGAGAAATCAGAGTATAAGCTTGCATCGGAGGGGATGATCCTATTTTCCAAGAAATCTGTGCCTTTAATAACCAGCATAAAAGAGCAAAAGTGGGAGTATCTCCAGGCACAGCAGCTCTTTTGAGGTCTTCAGGAGAAAGTCAGCACCATGAAAACCGCACCGGGGGCCTCATTCCAAATCCAAGGAATTTATCCCCTCCTGGGTGGAGAAATCCGAGTTTAGCTTCTATTATGGGAGTTTCTATGCTAAACAGAATGTCAGGGGGGTTAAGTTATGGGACCTGAAAAGCAGAACTGTCTGGCTTGCCTTGTACAATGGGCTTTCAATCACTCACGTGCCCAACTCGGTGGTTATTGCTGGAGCCAGATAGGTTTGAAAATTCTCAGTCTTTGGGAAAACCTCTTTGCCCCTCCTGCTCAGAATATCCTTCTTGGTTTCTGTCATTCCATTCTGCAGACTAAAGCCATTCCTCCCATTTTCTTCTGTTAGTCAAATTGTGGTCCTTCCTTCCTTCCTTCCTTCCTTCCTTCCTTCCTTCCTTCCTTCCTTCCTTCCTTCCTTCCCATTTGCAGATCCCTTTAATAGCATCCATGGGTATTTCTTAGGTTTGATACCGAGTCTTGCAACTATCTTGGACTAGATGACCTACAAGTTCCTCATCTTTCAGACTCAACCTACCTCCACGTGTCCTCTTAGTGAGGTGTCCTTCCTCAAAGCTTGACCCACACACTTTCCCTTTTCTGTGTGTGATTCTAGATGTGAAAGAATCCAGGGAAGCACACAAGAAATCTGCCCTAAAATTCTTGAGCACTCCAAGGCCGAGAATCAATTTGATGTCGGGCTCATTTTAAATAATTGTACTTGGCTTCGTTGAGCGGCTCAACATTAAACCCTCCGGGAGCAAAGCTCTGCCTCTCCCTTGATTGAATTCTCCTCCTTTTCCAGCTGCAACCTCTCTCTCACACACACCCTTTCCTTTCCTTTCTGCAGTTCAACAAGCTTTTCAGATGGGCTGTGATTCCTCAAATGCCATCTTTCACTTTTGCCCTGAGCTGTCATTTCTTTGCGTTAGGGGAGCACTGCTGGAACGGTTACCAAGGATGTTGATCTTCCTTCTGAATTCTCTTCTTGTTGTTGACATGATCCCATTGCCTGCAGTAGCATTTGCTTGGGATCTGCATAAACATCTGCATAGGATGTTCCCAGATGTTATGATTAATCCCTCTTACAGAGAATGGATTGGGGTGGAAATTGAAGACCCTGTTTAAAAAAACAAAGAACATTCCAACTCCTAAAATGGATCCCTGGGTGACCAAAACTGAGGAATTGAGTATGTCTAGTCCAGTGAAAAAAGGGACTAGGGGGGACATGATAGCAGGGTTCCAATATTGGAGGGGCTTCCACAAAGGAAGAGGGGGTCAACCTATTCTCCAGAGCACCAGAAGGCAAGACAAGAAACAATGGGTGGAAACTAATCAAGGAGTGAAACAATCTAGAACTAAGAAGAAATTTCATGACAGTGAGAACAATTAACCAGTGGAATGATTTGCCTCCAGAAGTTGTGGGTGCTCCATCACTGGAGGTTTTTAAGAATAGACTGGACAGCCGCTTGTCTGGAATTTTCCTCCAATGGGATTTTCCCATGTATTTTCCCAGGAACCATAGATAGGGCAGGCTGGAAAGGTCAGTGCCCTCCTAACCATACCCAAGCACTCCGAGTTTGTTGGTGATGTCCATTGTGCTCTATGAGTTCATGGTGACCTAACCCTAAGTGGAATTTTCCTCCAATGGGATTTCCCCATGTATTTTCCCAGGAAACATAGATAGGGCAGGCTGGAAAAGTCAGTGCCCTCCTAACCATACCCAAGCACTCTGAATTTGTTGGTGATGTCCATTGTGCTCTATGAGTTCATGGTGACCTAACCCTAAGTGGAATTTTCCTCCAATGGGATTTCCCCATGTATTTTCCCAGGAAACATAGATAGGGCAGGCTGGAAAAGTCAGTGCCCTCCTAACCATACCCAAGCACTCCGAATTTGTTGGTGATGTCCATTTTGC